CTGACAGCTGTCATCGGCCGGGGAGCCCTTAGAAAGGGCAGAAGGTCACGTTTGTCTCTCGCCCTGCCGCTCCGATAAGGGAGCTGCTATTGCCGCCCTTACCAGGGCACCGGCGGTCTGTACCTGCGCGCTGTCATAGCCCGGCGAGCGGAGCATTAACGTGCTTGTGTTTACAGGTGCAATCAACCAAAAGAGCGGATCCTAAACGAAATATTTTTTTGCAGGTAAAAAGATCTGTCTGATGTTTGATTGACAGACTTTTTATTTTTTGCCCTTTCAGCAGTTTGCCACAGCATCATTTGCGTGTCGTGTTTGTGGGACGCTTAAAAGTTCACTTTGCGGGCACGGTGTGTTGAAAGGGCCCTCGGGCATTGAGGAGAAACTGCTCCCAGCACAACTCACGATTAACCATTTCCAAATGATAATCTTAAATAATTTTCTGAAGTATTTTCTAATTTCCTATAAAGCAAATAATTCTAACTAAGTACTGTTATTTTTAAATACACTTTTGCAAGATTCTAAAAAATTATTTTTCCGTGGCTGTATGTTTTGTCCTTGGGATTTATATGTGTTCCTCTTACAAATGGACAGACGACTGGCAATGTTTTTAGAACTTAAAATTGATTTCTTAAGATTGGTATATTTCATCATAATATCCCTTGCAGGGCCTTAGATTTGTAACATATGTAAGTAACAGCATGAAGCTTTCTTCATTCCCCTTAGTTACAGTGACACATGATCTGAAAGGAAAATCCAGGCAATCCTAAAACTTTGGTTATAAGGTTTGAATCAGGCAGATGAAGTAAGAAGAGCAACTAAGTTTTAGATCAGTAGTCGGGCCACTGATAGTTCCAAAATCACTAAATCACCTTTTTTGTTTTCTGTTTATGTTGAATATTACATAGTATATTCAGCAAGCTTTCCTCTATGAAAAAGGAAAGAATATAAAATTAAGCATTAGAGCTAATACCATAAATAACGAAATCCATCGTTTCATCTTTGACATGTATCTTTTGGTCCTACTGTATCGTCTAAAAGTTTTCATATATGATAAGTAGACAGAGACACCTTTTTCTCTGAGAGAGAGAAGTTATGTCCTACCATAATTTTGATGGATTTATGCTTTTGCATACTGGATTATACTGGTGACGTTGCTGGAATGCTAAAACTTAGAATGCTGGAATCAAAGCGTGGAAGCCCAGCATTTAGTTTCTAGTAAAAAATCTTCCATCACAGGTTCATTTATTGTTGAGATGACGTTTTGCTTTTGTAGATAAGGAATACAGTAGAGTATGTTAATAAAATAAGCAACATAAATATATGATTTTAAAAAATATATTAATATAAAAAATGTGTGGTTCTAGAATATCACACAGCTCTTCCAACTTTTTGCAAGATACTTTTGCGTGTTTGCAAAGAAGTGAAATGTGGTGTCAAAATACTCTATTCAGCTTGGCAATGTGGACCTTTTATGGTTCTTGACTTCTTGACTATGATGCTTGCTTCTGGAAATAAATAATTTTTTGAAGTCCTTGATTTTGGTCATAGAGGGAAAAGTGGAGAGGAAGAACATTGTACAACTGGATCTCGAAATTGTCTCTGCCAGTACCTGTTTTATTGACCTAGAAAGCAGAGAGGCTGGTTTTAAAACAGCTTTTTGGTGTTCTCCATGTCTATCTTGTAAACTTCAAAGAAACATGCGAATTAAGTTGTGGATTTTGTGCTCTGAGGAATGAAAAATAGGAAAGCTCTCCTGTCTTCTCTTGAGTATCTGAGATTTGGAGTAAAAACAAAAAACAACACAAAAAAACCAACACAGACACCTCTGGCATAGAAAGAGAGTTTATACTTATTTTGGATTATATTTGATTATAACTGAGTTTGAAATTGTGGGTTTTGTTTGATAGGTAGCAGGCAAACTTAGTTGAAAACTTTAAAAAGATCAAAAGAAAAGCTGCGCTTTCCAACACTAAGTTGTAGAGAGTCTTGTTATGAAATACTGCTAGTGTTGCACACATGAGGGGTCTGACACGTCGTGCTCTTTGCTGAGAGTGGTGGCCTGTTCTGTGAGCCTCAGCTAAAGGTCTTGCATTCCTTCCTAAATTTGGCTTCCCCTGGAAACGGGCAGCAGGGAAGATGTGAACTCTAGACCTCTTCGTCATCCACCTTATTCATAGAGACTGTACTTAAATTTCCTTCTGTTCACGCGTATCCTCTAATGTCATTTGTGCCCCCTGTGTATCCAGTTTAAGTTGTATGTTAGTGGATGCTTGATATATACCTTTCTTGGAATTTCTGAAGCTTGCTGTATATTTCTTCTTATTTTAAACTGTTAAAAATTTTAAATTTGACTTGTATTAAAAAGATGTGCACCATCAAATAGGTTATCTCTCAGCTGCATGCTAACCGCAGACTTCAGTAACAACAATAAAAGAACAAAATAGAAATTCACTGAAGGCTGAAAGTGTTATGTAGAACAACAGTTATCAGATTTTTTAGTAAACCTTCAATCTTTTTTCGTAGGCAAGACTCAGTCAGGCCTTGGGGAATATAGTTGAATTATTCCCTGCCTGCTGGATGCAGGTGAAACCTATTCCAGCAAGGTGGAGAAAGAAACAAACCCAAATTTCCAGTTTTAATACAGGAAACTTCACCCACATCTCTTTTTTTGAATTTCCTGAATGTTTTGCTCATAGCTTAGCTTAATTAGAGGTATAAGAGTACCCATAAGTCTCTTCTAGTTTGGAATTTATTTTTCCTCTGCCCAGATAAAATCACTGGGATAGAAAACCCCTTTAAATTGAAAACTAACCAATTTTTCAAAGAAAACATTGTTTCTGAAAGCATTGTTTCTGAAAGCATGGCAATACCTAGCACTGCATTGTACAACTAGAGCAGGGTTTTTGTGTGTTCATGTTACATGATGATGTTTAAAAAAAAAAAAGTCTTACACAAACTCATCAAATGCTTACCTGAGACAGTCTATAAATGTATAGTAAGAATTTTGTGTTATAAAGTAATATAATTTGAGACAGGAGAATGCAGATTTAATGGATGTGTTATGTTTTATGTGTAAATGAAGATAAAATTTACGATTGCTCATTTTGTGCTAAAAGATTCTTAAGTTATATGGTGAAAAGATAGCTTGAGGACAAATGTAAATACAGGTGGAAAGGGAATAGCCTAGCTACTTTGTCAGGCCTTAATTTATTGGCTCGCAGCCAAGCTGTTTCAAAATACCATGACCTTCTCATATGGAGCTCAAGTATCTGTCAGTTAATTATTTTTGCCTCAAAATTTTTTTAACAAGACTTCCCAGACACAGTTTTTATTGTAAAACAATTCACTATTTATAATAAACGCAGATAAATTGGTGTCTGAAGAAAAAAAGATGTTTGACGTTTACGTTTTGACTCTTTGATGTGCACTCTACTGTTTTACAGTTGAATTCTGTTATTCTTGAAGATATGCTCAGTACTCTGCATGTTTGATGGTCCTTCATACATAAAACTTTTATTGGATTGCATGTCTTGCAGCAGAATTGTGCTTCGTAATGCATCTTTTAGTCACTTGTGTGTACGACTGAGAAGAGTTGATTCAATGAAGCCACAGTTTCATTATATTGTCGTGTCGGCAGCAGTGCTGAATTAAAGTATTCTTGTCCACTGCTTTGTGTTCCTATTTTTGTGGAAATCATCTGTTTTAATTCTGCGTTAGTTCAATGATCTAGTTTACTGTGCAGTCTTGCAAGCAGCTGTCATCACAGATATAAGGTGGAAGAGGGAGAGGTGATGAGGTGATGTGAGAGGCTAGTGTTGTGGAAGAGTTACAGGAGATGCTTAAGCAGGTGTTGATGCTGATGCAAGCTCCTTTATGCTGAAGTAATGTCCTGACTGAATGGGTTGGGTTGCATACAGCTGAAACAAGCATGAGACGTGGATGATCCCCTTTATCCTAATGGGGTGTTACACCTTTACAGGTATTGTATGTAGGTCCTACTGTTAATATTCTAATTCCTGTGGGTCCCTGGCAGTGTGAGGGCCCATTTGTTACTCGTTCCCATAAAGTTGTGTCAGCTGAATCACGATACTGCAGTATATAATGGAGAAGTTACAAATTACAGCTCATTAATTGAAGTTTGAGTTCACTAGCATAGTTGTTGTGCTGTAGGTCTTAGGGGGCATTGCCATTTCTTTTCTTGCAGAGAATGCTTATGTATTTATCTTTTAATTACTAGAACCTAGAAAGGTGAATTAAATTTTTACAAATGAATTAAAAAATCGCTACTTTTACTGTAAATCAAAATCTAATGACAGAGCTGAGTAGTTTTGTGACTTCACTTTCTCAGAACGAACAGAGTTCTGTGTGTATGTTTGAAGGTCGGCATCTAAATCATTGTGAATACAAGTAGACTGTACAGTAGAGAGTGAACAGAAGAAATGGATTTTAAGCTATTAAATAAGCTTGCTTACATGTTTTGTGAGCAAAAATGCAGAGAAACAAACTCAGTCATCGAGTGAGTATCATAAATAAACTACAATAAATTTTTCCTGCAACTATCCTACTGTCTTGAAACGAGATCTCAGGGATATGAACTTCCATAATACATTTCCCTTTTATTTGTCACTTGTGATGCTTTCTACTCCTGCCTCCTCATGTCCTTAGTTCAAGATTGGTATTAGCCAGCGTAACTGGACAGGTGAGGGCATGGAATTTACTTAATGATAAAAAGTTTACTTTTAATTTAAAGCTGACCTATAGTTAAAAAACAGTGATTAATGACTTGAGACAGAAAAGTGAACAATAAGAATACTGATACAGGCATGTGACAGTTGTCTTGGTGTACAAGTAATAAAGGTGTACTTGGTTATTTTATTTTTAGTTAGCTCTATTATTATTTAAATGCTATAATTTAAAATTTGCCTGTGATTTTTATTTGAAAATTTATTGTTAATAAAATTAAAACTCTAAATTTAAACATCTCAGTTGACTCAAATAATTTTTGTCTGTGTGTGTGAATTTTTACTTAAATGAAAAATGCCAAAACCATTAGTTTCAGGATAAAAATTAATCTGAAAATTTATTTCTCACAAAAAGAGAAGAAATAATACATATTTTCCAAGCTAATTATAATAATGATCAGGAACAATTATTCAGAAGATATCTGCTACTAGGAATTGTAAGAAAATTTATGTGCTGTGTTTTCACAGTGTAGCTGCAAATGGAAAGCTACAGTATGGCTGTAATTGTTATAAATTTATGCAATTAGCTGACAGTTTCTGAAAACACATAATTGTCTTTTTATTAGAAGATACTGGTCATTATGTGAACACATCTATTCTACAGTGATAATCTGATTGTTGGTGGTAGGCAACTAGTATTGTAATGCTATTAGTTTAATCAAGCCCTTTAATTTCAGAACAGTTATGTGCAGACAGTTGTGCACCATTTCAAGTGATACTTAGTAAAGATACTAGTTTGGTAATCATTGATAATTAGCATCTAAATGGATTCATTTTTGTTTGTGTGGCTTTGTTTTTTATTTTTACTCTAGTATGCCAGTGTTGAGAAGGATGGTGAGCATTACATGACCCCAGAAGATTTTGTGCAAAAATACCTAGGACTCTATACAGATCCGCGATACAATCCTAAAACAGTGCAGCTGTTGGCTGGAGTGGCAGATCAAACTAAGGATGGGTGAGAATTTTGCTTTCTGTTAGAAGCTTGTAATACATTGGTAAATGTGTGAGTGAATGAGTTTGGTAATTTCATCTTTTAAAATACGTTATTGATTTTATTACACGTTAAGCTTTCAATTTTTTCTGAAGTACAATAGACTAAATTTGTGGAAATTGAGGAAAAATATGGTGTTTAACATGCATTTTAAAATTAAGATTTGTTTGAATGGAATTTTAACAATTACTACAAATGGAGAGGAAGTTGAACTGCAAATAAGTTTAATGTAATATGGTTACCTTGGAAAAGTTCTTTTCTGTACACTCAGGTCTGTGATTAGATGCTATGTAGAGTCTTTAGTGCCTGTAATTAAACACGGAGATATGGAAAAGCTTTCTTATTTCTGTAGTGTGTGATTCAAATCAAACCATTGAGGTCTCTTTTAAGGTGCTGGCTATTTGGAAAGAGAGACACTAATGACTCTATGAAGGAAGAAGGTGTTTGCCTAATCAAGATGAGGTCACACCACACAAAGCTTTTTGAGCTTTGTTTACAGATGATATTACTTGCTTTTAGACAGTTCTCTGAAACTAATTTACAAAATGTCCACTCTGCTGAAGTGTAGTACACTCTAACTCGTCTTCAAAGGAGCCTTTTCTCTTGCTGTATGTAGGCTTCTAGTTTTGGCCTTGGACTGTAGTAGGAAGCGTGGACGTTGTTAGAATGCGAAGGTTAAGATGGATCAGAGAACAGGTCAAGAATGCAGAAGGGAGCGGATGTTTTGTAGAGGAGAGAGAAAGTTGCTGTTACAATAGCATACAATACATTTGTAAACATGTGGATGTAACTTCTTTAAATTGAAAGCTCCTTGACTTCCTTGGATTTGTGAGTCTAAATCTGACCTTTGACATCACTTAAATGTTTTTGTTTTCCTCTATGCTGCTTTAGAAGATTTATTAGTTTGCATAGTGTCCTGAGCAGCTTGCACAGTGTCTGTGCTTTACAAATGAAATTGTATATACTGTATACATTTTACACTGACAAATGTAGGATCTCCTGTGTGATGTAATGTTACATGATTTTTTTTTTTTCATAAAGCTGCAGCGTTTTGGGAATACATTTGATATGTATATATATTTGATAAATCCAATTAACCCGTGTCTCCGTTTGCAATACATGGCTGCAGTTTGATGCATTGTTATGGGTTGAAAAGGCTATTTTGTATGTAGCTGTTGAAATAATAGTCTAATTGATGACTAATATACCAACATGTTAAGTATCTTGTTTCTCTGAAATCTGTTGGTTATCTTTTACAGTGTGCGTTTCTTCAGAAAATGTCTTATAAAAGGATATTTCTTATCTTTGTTACAGTAAGAAATCAATAATTTGTTTTATTGCTACAACAGAACAGATTGAGGCATCACTTTTTTTCTTGCTTTCCCTGTGAATATAGGGTGGTTTTTGTTGGGGTTTTGTTATTGTTGTTTTGTTTTTTAATTCTGGGTAATACTTGAAGTGAGATACTAAAAAATGGGTAAGTGTGCTTTATCTATTTCTGTATGGGAACAGTGGGAATGGGAATTGTTACCGTATCATCTGCAGTGCAAAATGTTTGTCTGTCTGAATACTTGTCTGTGACTTATTTTCCTAAAAGGTTTAATCTATATTTATCTCTAAACTGTATTTCATGTGAAGAATTTTTTATACGTCAATCATCATTATTGGTTTATTTATTTACTTTACATTCACATTCTTCCATTTGTAGTGAGCTGTAATATAACAAAATCCAGACTAATAACTGTATCCTCTGAACAGAGAGTTTAATCTGTAGCATGAATAATTATTGTAATCTTCAACTGAATTCCTGAATGCTTTATATCTTTCCAAGGACTTAGAGGTACTTTACAAAGTCCAAGGAAGTATTAGTAGTCCTATTCCATACATATATTTGTAAATTAAGTGACAACCCAATGTCACACAGCAAGTCATTGAGAAACTTTGGATTCTGTTAAGAAATTTCATTCCTGTATCTGCTGTCGTATTCTCTTAGCTTTGCTTGCCCTTCAAATAAATACTTAAAGTGTTCTTGGTAACTTTTCTCTGTTAATATTTTTTAATTTAATTTAGATTTAAGTTTGGCACTTTAGAAAAAAAGCACATTTTGGAAATGGCTGTCTGTAGGCATATATGTAATAAAAAGGGGGTTTTTAACTTTTTTTCTGATGGTAACTTGATCCTTACTTAACTGTTCCAGACTACTATTGCCTTTTCCCCTTACTATAGTACAAGACTGGTTTGCTTTAGAGGAATTCTGTAAGGTAGTTCTTAAAACAGATGACTGTTCATTTTCAAAGTGTTTATTCCTCATCGTTACAAATGGCATATTCTGAGAAGTGAATGTGATGAGCTCTAAATTAGAATTTGGCCTAAACTGCCTTGTCTGCTCTCTGTTTAATACAATGGGATTTCACTGATGCTGTAAGCATTCCTGTGTCTTCAGACTGCAGGTGCTAGTTTTGAGATTAGGATAAGTATCCTCTCTGAATAATGTACGTAGACATGTGTGCCAAAACCAGCTTCCCAGTTACATAAGTCAGTTAACATTAGTAGGTATTGCAGTTTTAAAATAGAAGATTTTCTTCTCCCTTCAAACCTTCAAAATTTCCTAGTCATTCAAAATTCTTCATTTTAATTGCTTGTTTCTAGGTACTTTTTTTATCAGCATATTGTTCTTAAAATTTGGAAATGTGTTAAGCTAAGTTCTGAAGAAAGAGTTTGTTTCACGTAATGGAGAGTCGCAACAGAGCTGTACATAATGTCTAAAAGCTACGTTTTGTGGGGAAAAAAGAGCAAAGAGTTGTAGTAGGAAAAAAGGAAAGACAGAGGAGAACTGTAAACACACAGCTTGCTTTGTGTGCTTTTGAAGGGTAACAGTATGGAAGAAATAAGGGGAAAGGAAATTTTTTTAAATGTTACAGATAAAATGAAAGGTGAGTGATTTGATATTGTTACAGACTCCATAATGCAGCAGGTTCACTGAATGAAACTTGAGTAGCGATTGGGTGGGAAGCTCCATCATTCTGTTTAATCTAGCTCGTGTTATCTCCGCCCTAATGGATAACGGAGGATCACAGGGGATATCCCTGCTCTTAGGCATTGTAAGCTGAATATATGAAAAGGAAATTGAATGTGTCTGTCTCCTTTTGCTGTAGGCACTGTTAAAGTGAGACCTCTGAAGATGGCTTCTTTCAGGTTCAGGCTTCTACGAATGCATCCTACAGAGATCATCACTTGATTCTGTCAGTTATAAAGCTTCCTGGTTAGGAATTAATTTATATGTCAGGTTTACGCTCGTATGTGAGGTAGATTTTGAAATTATAATATTTACAATTATTTTAAAGGATATTATGTTTCTCTGATGCTAAACCCTTACTTATCAAGATCATGCTTTGGATGAAATTGACTTTGCATCTGAAGAATCATGCTCAGATCTTTTTTGTGGCTGAAGTGACAAATTAATATCATAATTCTGTATTTGCCGTATCTTGTCCTTTCAAAATTGCTACATTTTTTTCTGTATTTTCTGTATAATGCATACAGGCAAGGATGTTAACATATGTAAGCTCTTTTAAAGTATCTCAATTCTGCTTTATGTGTGCTTTGACAGAGAAAGACTAGATAAACTAATGAATAGTGTGGCTTGACTTTTTTTTTTTTTTTTTTCCCCTTTAGGGAACAGGATTTATACTTGGCTGTAGCAGTAAGCAGTATATGGGTGAAGTTATCTCTATGACCTAATGATCTCCTATGGAGAGTACTAAAGTCAGATAAATTATGTACATTTTCTAGGAAAATGTACCATCTACAGCGATATTCTATGTTTTAACGGCATCTACTGTATTATTTTTTTTGTTTAATTTAAAAAATGTAATTTAAATTCTTATTCCCTTTTGATAATTTATTTGATGCTAAAATAGATATCACATCATTTATTTCTATAAAGCTAGCTCAGAAACTTGTAACTGGATGGAATATTCTAAGTCATCAAGCTAAGTCACCTATTTCTACAAGGATGAGAACTCATAGCAGTTTTAATAAACCAAGTTTGCTATTAAAACTTAAGGCTTTTGCTTGCAGTATTCTGGAAAGACCACAGTATATGCCTGCTCTAAATATCTTTATGGATATGTGATTTTGTTCTCGTGCCAACATTATCCTTTATCTTCTGGCTTAGGGCTTATCTTTCTGCAGCTGTTCGCACATACAGCATTAGGATCCCTTCTAAATGTCTTTTCTGTTAGTCAGAGTAAGCTGAGTTCTGCTAGAAAAGTTATTTATGATTATCCTTGCAAGTTACCTGTGCATCCCTTGAAGTCTGAGTTTATATGTATTGAACACAAGGACTTTGATTTCTATGCAGCATTCCAGAGATGTTGTGGGAACCTTATCTGGGGATACTGCTGCTTCCTTATCTTGCACAGTAATGCTTTCCTAATGCATCCTGCATTGCATTCTTCTGTATCGTGATTGTCTTGCATACACAACTCAGAATCTTGTGATCTGCTGTTAACACTCAAATCCTTCCCTACTTTGGTCGTGTCTTAACTTTCCTTATGTCCAAATGCTCTTGCAGTTTCTTTCTTTCTTGTCCTCAGGTACATGACTTTGCAGTTCATGTTATATTTGAAGTATAATATTTTTTCTATATACATAGTAAAGTGTAACTTTTTCTGAACCTGTTTGTTTTTTATGAATGTTAAACATTGTTTTAAAAAAGTACATCTATTGTGTAGTATATTCCTATACTCGCATTATAGTATCTTTTCTTTCTCAGTAGAAATGCATATATAAATTGGTAGTATTTTGACAGTCCTGTAAATTTCATGGTGGTAGGATTTCTGTGGGGTTTTTACGTCTAAATTTTTACTGAGAATTGATTATATTTTGTTGTTGATGAATACGAAGTATTCAGTCCTTTTATAGAGGAAGAAACTGAGTTGCATAAAGGTTAAGTAACTACTTAAATGTAACAAATACTTTTCCAGTTTCTAGTGTAGAGTCAATGTTTTTATATTAGAATTTTATTTTAGTAATTGGATCATATGGTTTTCTAGAGCATCAAACACAAAATATCATTGGTGTTGTAAATTATTTTTCTAAAATCTTGATGACTTCTGTATTTTCCTTTGTAGGCTGATTTCCTATCAAGAATTTTTGGCATTTGAATCTGTTTTGTGTACTCCAGATGCAATATTCATTGTTGCTTTTCAGTTATTTGACAAGAGTGGCAATGGAGAAGTAACATTTGGTAAGAATATATAAAGAAAAACAGTTTAAGAAAGCGGTTATAATAGTATAAATTGTAATAATTGTTCATCACCATTGGTGCGTAGAAATGCATATTGTGCAGTACTGTACTGATTTCCTAGGAGTTTGCATGAGTAAAACATTTTTTTTCTTTCAACTGATACAAGCTTAAGAAATACACAGAAACAAAATGTATTTTGCTCTGTCTTCTTGAATCAAGATTTTTTGTGTTCCTGAAGTAGTTAATAAAAAGCTGTTTTGTTCAGTGTCATCCTAAGTAAAATTCTATGTCATGGACTATGAACTCCTTCAATAATGTTTTTTTTTAAATATCTGGATCTCCATGTGTCTTTGAAGAGTTGTCGTTAGATACAGTAACAGCTCAATACAGAAATGAAGGAGGTCTGATGTTTTGAATTCCCAGTTTAGTGTTCCTTTTCTTGAGGAGCAGATCTTACTTTAATGTTATGAGTGTAACTTCCAACTAGATCACGTATTTGAAAGATTAGGAGAAAATATGGCCTTTTTGTTACTTTTTTTTCCACCTAATCACATAAATTAGTAGTTGGACAAAATTCTTTAGGCTAACTATACTGCTTTATGATGTTGCTAAATAACGGTTATTAATGTTGCAGTTTAAGGAGGACTAGGTTTTATTTTTAAAACTTCATATGTTTATGAAAATTAGATAAATCAATGCTAAGAATTTTAATAAAATGGAATGAGAATTAAATGTTATTTCTATCCAAAAGAATAAAGCTCTCAATAAAGAAAATACAAACTATGCTTGGATTTGTAACCACTTGCTGTTTGTACGATTTCATTCTTAGGAAAATTGTTGCAACTTGTTGGAAAAAAAAAAAAAGCAAGGGTCTTTTTATGGAAACAAACTGATTAAGTTATGTCTGTTAAATTACATCGTTAACTGAAGGGTCAAATATAAAGCAATTTGGATACACAACATCTTGGAAAGAAAGTCTTTAGAACTTAAGTAAAGGTGAAGTCGGTAAATGCAGTCATTAGGAAACAGACAAACTACTACAACTATTGTGACCGTGTTAATGATGGTATATTTAGTCTCACAGAATGGGGATATGCACTTTGTAGCTCTCATGAACGTATTTGAAATAGCTGGTTCTGGAAATGAACAAAAGGTAATTTCAGATTGTATATGGATTCCTCAGTCAGACTGAGGATTGTTATTTTATGAGCGTATCATTATATAAAAGGCTAAAAGAACAACACAAGCAGGAGAAACTGTAAAACAGAAAATTGTACAATTTTTTTTCCATATCTTTCTTGCTAAATTTTTCTTTATAAAGCTGAAAAATCTTGACTAGGAAACTCTTTAGGGAATTTAAAATTTACTATTGGTTTCTTGTTTTTACAGAATTAATTATATTGCAATTATTACTATATTTAATGGTATGTTGTAATGTATCAGTGGTACATATTTTTATGCTACAGTTCCCACGTTTACTGATGCTTTTTTCTTTTTTTTTTTGTTGTTGTTTGTAACATGGGCTACTTATTTTTACTTCGTAGGCATATCATACAAATTAATGCATGTGGGAAAAAGGTGAATGATGATGTATGACATGTTCAGAATTTCATAACTCTGCAGTCAATTTCCAAGTTGGTCTTGTGGCCTATAGAGGCTGTTTCATAAATGAGTCCTGCACTTTTTAATTTTTCACTCTGTTTAAACAGAAAGGCACAGAGTTTAGTTTCATGTGAAAACAGGAGAATATATAATCAAAGAATTATAGAGTGGTTTGGGTTGGAAGGGACCTTAAAGATCATCTAGTTCCAACCCCCTGCCATGGGCAGAGACACCTTGCCCTAGACCAGGGTGCTCAAAGCCCCATCCAACCTGGCCTTGAACATTTCCAGGTCTTAAATTTAAAGTTGTAATAAATTATTAGAAATATACTGAAATGGAGTAAGTTTAGCCAATTGGTGTGAGAATTGCTATCAAAGTCAGCTCTTGTGAGTGTCTGCAGATAAACCATGTTGGTTATGGAAGCAAACATGAGTCAAGATTTTCTAGCTCAGATGCAATGCTATGTGGATATGATTGCATCGATTCCAAAGCTAACTCAAGCCAGTAAGTTTTGCCAGAAGTGACATGGATTTACTGAGGTTTTTCTGCACTGTGCATGTGGAACAAGGGGTGGAGGTGCTGGAGAGTGGAACACGGAATCATCTTGGGTCTGTTAGGTCAGTAAATTGAACGTAACACTGGCCTTGCTGGTCATGAGATAATGTCTCAAAATCATTTGGGTATGACTGTATGGCATTTTCAAAAAATATCCTGGTCTAATAAAATTTTCAGTTATTTCGGGGAAGTTAAGTATACTTGTGGATTTTTTGGAGATAGCTCTGTATTTGAAAGCAAATCAAATGTCGAGTCCAGTCCTGTTCCCATCTCCTTTTTAGGATTTGTTTACTGACATGGACTTGGACCATACGTAAGCACTTTAGCTTCTTGTGGTCCTCTTCAGCTTCAATCTGCCACTTGTCTCTTTGAAAGTTTACCTTCCAACTCTCCAATGAGGAAACTATTAATTAAATTGTATTACAGAAAAACCTTTGTCTTATGAGTTGAGAAATGGAAGTGGACAAAGAGTTTATGGTTCTTTAGAAACTATTTGGTAGAAATACTTGTTGGTTGTGCTCTGTTAATCAATGTCTTTGTCTGTTCTATATCATATGTTAATTGGGATTGTTGAAAGAGGAAGCCTTTTGTCACTTCAATGTCACCTACTTTCTTATTGCTTTGGAATGTTTTTCCAGGAATTTTGGACATCCAGAAATTCTGTATGAATGTCTGCCATAAATGTGCAGATGGTATGCTGCAATATTTGTATGGTAGGTCCATTGCAAGAACATGAAATTGGACCTACTTTGTATGAGCAAACTGTACAGCATGCTCAGTACTCTTTACATGTTTCAGCTGCACTGGACTTGCTGTCAGCTTGGTGAATAAAGAGCAGTAAAATTACTATTTTAATAACCCATTGATACAAATGACAGTGTAGTTTAAATGACTTTTTAATCATGGACAAATAGAAAGAATGCATTTATTTTCCTGATTAAATGTTTGCACATCTTCATAACTGATTCCTAGCTGAATATTTTACGGGAAATGTGTTGCTGATGAGCCCTTACAATATTGCTTTAACCATAAAATATTTAAAAGGTAAGAGCTAAGGCAGATACAGAAAAGTGGGTTGGTTTTGTTTTGTTTTGTTTTGTTTTTCATGCATTATCTTTCTTGTTATGAGTTGCTGTTTGTAGCCAGAGCAGACTGACAACCACTTTGCTTTTTTGATCATGGGATGTAACTGACTAGGCTACTTAACATGAGTGAAATATTTAAAAACACTTTGATGATATTAAAGGTCTTTTCCAACCTAAATGGTTCTATGATTCTGTAATGCTATAAAATTAATGCTATTGTATTAAGGAAGCTTCTTTTTATTGCTATTCTGTGCAGGTTTTTTTGACCTGAATTCAAGTTAAAGCAAACCTGAATATTGAATCTGCTTAAGCTATTTGGTTTTCTTCAATGTTGAAGCAGATAATCCTTACTGTGGTTAAAAGGTGAAGTCTGTGACTATCACTGAAACTTCTCTCAAAAATAGGTTGTCTAACTGGAAGTAAAGGGATTCTTTGTAATTTATACCTTTGGCATACCATACAATGATCTGGACTGTATCACTTTTAATTGGAATGTACAATTTCAAGGCTTTTCCCAGCTGTTCTTGTAACCACAAAGAAAACCATTCTCTGGTAAGTGGAGAATTTCAGAGACACTTTTTTAGTAAATACCCATGCTGGTATGGATAGAAAGATAGAGCTAAAATAATGAGTTTTTTAAACAATTTTTCTGCCTTCATGTTCATGATTCTTCTGTATTCAGAATTTTTATATTATTTTAGAGATAATTGGAAAATATTTATGGAACAGAACATAAAGCTTTTAAAAACATTCTGCAGCTCAAAATCCAATTAAAAATATTTTGCAGAGTATAACGGCCCCTTGTTTAAAGGCACTGGGGGGGAGTAAGGGGATTGGATACCTAGTAATACAACTTTGTGAAAATTATATTTGTGAACTGAAATAATAAACATCGATGTAATAGTTTCAGAAGTTGGTACACAGTGGTACTGAAATCCTGTCCAGCTATTTTCTTAAACAAATTTTAGTCTGGGAGCGAAAATTTAGATTTCCCTTAATCAGTACATAGAGTTTGAGAACACTGGAAGAAGGTGAGTGAGAAGAACAAGAGAAAGGAGTTGAATGTATGTTGTTGTAGTTCTTTGCTTTTGAGTATTATTTTTCAGGAAAGACAGATCACTCCTAGCATTCACTCCTCCCCATTTCCAAAAGAGCAATTGGATTCAAAATGCTAGAATTTGGATTTAATCCTAAGAGTTCTGCTTTATAAAATACTATTTGCAACCATAAAGGCTGGAAACCTTTTAAAATGTAAACAGAAAAAGAAATCTCGTAATCACATGGCTACAGATCTAAGGATATAAGAAAAACACCAGGTTTTTATCAAGTGTGCTGTAAACTAGGACTGCTATTTTTCTTGGCTTCCTGGTAGCCATACGCTAGTTGCCTGCTTTCAAGATGTCTTTTGCTTAACGCATGCAGATAATGTAGGAAACATCGCTGTATGTTATGACTTTCTTTTGTCCTCATGGTTTTTCTTTTTTGATGTTTTTTGTTTGTTTCTTTCCTGTTGTATGATTCTTTCAGGTTTAAACCACAGTTTTAAACACTTGTGAGTAGTGCAGGATGGGAGCCCCTTCTTATTTTTTTGTAATAATGATGTATTAAGTTCAAAACCATAGTTCAGCAAGAGGGAACATAAAAGGAGAGCTCATTAAACTTATATATATTGACAATTTGTTGTTATGGCTGTCACTAATCTTAACCTTAAACAGAATCACTGATCCTTTTGAAGTAAGAGTAGAAATACACTGTAACTATTTCTGGTTTAGCTTTCTCGCTTTTCCTGCCACTTGTCATTTTGCTTTTATGTCAAAGTAATTATTGTATTATTTACGTTTAGATCACTCTTAATATACTTCTGTTGCATCAGGTGCTACAAAAAAGTCTTTTTGCCTTTAATTGAGATTTTTTTATTTTATGCTTGAAAGTGAAAATATGTAAAATTTGCTGTTAGCAGAAATAGTGAAAAATAGTAACATAGAATAAGTTAAAATGCATTATGTACATTAAGCCTGAAATATGAACATATGAGACTGTAGATGACTGAGTAGACAGATTTTAAAAAGCCCACCCTATTAAAGAACAAACCTTTAGCATACTTACGCTAGTGCTTAAAACTGTCACATTCATATTTTTGTGTCTGACAAGCATGATTGATGTTCCATCACTGGTGAGAGGGAATGGCAAACCGTATTAACAGGTTGGTGGCACTGGAATTGTCACGTTTCCACTTTGCTTCTTGGGGAGCTGATAAATCAAAATAATAGGTGCTACCTCAAGGCTTACTTGGGGTACTAAGGTCTTCCCCACCATAGGCCATCAACAAGACGTCATAAAAGTATTCTTCCTCCTGTGAAATTCAGTATCGCCTAAAAACTTTGGTTTTCTTATATAATTTTTCTGAGCCCAATAGATAACGGTGTTTGATGGAGGTTGAGCCAGTCATGTGTATGCTGCCTGCAGATAGCTGCTCCAGGCATCTATAATTTGTTTAAAATGATTGGGTGGGGAAATTCTGAAGCAATCTTGAGAGAATGCATGTCGCCTTGGAGGTAATGTGCTAGTGCACTAGAGTAGTAGGTTTATTGTTCCTGGGGCTGATGGTAAGTTGAGTATGTCATCAGGCTGCTGACTTGTATGCCTATCTGAGAAGAAAATGCATTGCTATAAGCCTGGAAAGAAAGTTATCAGCTCAGTAGGAAAGAATTCCACTGTGTAAAGGTGAGCAAAGAGTAGGAAAAGACATTAGTAAATGAGCAACATGTATTGACAGGGACAATGAATGCATTCTGTAAAATGTCATACTAAAATGAAAGGGTTTAAAAATAATTTGCTGTTTGCCCCCTGCAGAATAGCTCTGTTGGAAATTTGGAATACTTGTAGTTTATCTTAATTTAGAAGCATTACTGGGTTTTGACTGAGGGAGAGGAAAAAAAAAGGGGGGCCGCAAAAAACCCCAGCATCTGTACCTTAATGTTACCTGTTTTCTTTGTTGTCAGTGCTTTGCTTCTGGTGAGGAAAAAAAAAAAAAAAAAAGATATTTGATTGTAATTCAAAGTGGTGGAAGTGTAGGTGATGATCACGTTATGTATGATTTCCGAAATGTGATTGTCCATTTGCTGCTTCTCATCACATGAGTTGTCAGTTATGGTGATGACTATTTCCTTTAATATAAGAGAATAGTCCACAAAATTGAATTAAAAATGTGTTCTTGATATATATAGCAAAGAAAGCATTGCTACTCTTGGGTAGAACTGGTAAATTTTAGTGCTTATCTAGAGATGTTTGAGAATCCCAAATGGCTTTGACTGTGTCAGTTATTCACAACAGGTGCATGGTTTTGCTCCTGTACCCCAAATGTTTCATAAACAAAGCCAACATGTAATTAATTAAGCATTAGATACAACAGTATATCCTTAAACCCAGACTACTGTAATACTTGCAGTATACATTACAATTGTGAGTGATTGCCTGTGGAAGAAAAATGGATAAGGCACCTCAATTTTCAGAGAAGCAACAGGCTAATCTGAATACCATTTCTTAAAGTCAGTTAGCCACTACTGGGATTCATCACATACCAATACACTCAACTATCTAATATAAATTTATTAAGTAATTTACCAGTATTATTTTTATGCGCTGAAGAATATTAGTGTGATATATTGACAACTAGTTGTAAATGTTTTTAAGGAGAAGTCAGTAACGTAGGAAACCAAGTCTTGGTTCTTTAAGTAGTATACAGTTAAATTCTTGGATGAGAGTTATGGAAAGACTATGGGCTTAAGTCTTATTAAAAATAATTGGAAGATCTGTCTATATGAGTATGTATGAATAGTTTCTTATAAGACAAAAGTGAGACTTTTTTTTTTAACCTTTCTCTAGGGTTAAAAGAAGCAATCATCAGAAATAATTTAAAATACAATTTAAATTTTCAGGCTGCTTCAGACATTCTTTCCCAAGTTGTCATCAGAACTCAGTGTATATTGGAAGTCAGTTTTACAGACGTGCAAGTAGTCACTAGTTGGCACCCTGTTTCTACATTAGTAGCCCAGACAATAGATCCAATTAAGCAGGCCTCTCTGCTGTTCCGCACATGGGTCAGTGCCATTTTGCAAGCTCATGAGTGAGCTGCACTGGTCTGTTTGTGTGACTTGAGGTAGCTTGGTCAAAAGCTGCAGTGAATTGGTGGTAGGTGGGGAATTTGTATCTACATGTCCTGGTTCCTTGTCTCTAGCGATGATGAATTAATCTACTACTGACAAAACTTTCAAAGGAAGTGTGGCAAAATAAAATAGTTTAGCACTATGTATTGGGTGCTTTATCTCATTTTTTTTTTAACTCCCACCTTGCATATTGATACCAGTGAATAGATACGAGTGGACAGTTAGAATTAGTCAGGGTAGTTTTTTAAGTTGTTTTTTTTTTTTACCTGAACGACTCCTTTAGCCTACCTTGCAGTGGAAACTATGGATTAAATAGCAGTTTTTTGAGTGGTCTATGTTTGACCTTTAAGTAAGGGCTAAATTACAGTTAAATCACTTACTAACCATTATCTACCCTTTGAATATGTAATCCCAAACTAACTGTGAAGCAGGTGATCTAGCCAAGGAATCCAACTTTGTATGTCACCATTCTGATACATATTTGTTCTGAACATTCGACTTCCTTTCCTCACTGAAAAGATAAAACCACAGTGATTTGCCTAGATTTGATCTAGAACTAGTAGAATGGCTATAGAATTGAAAGGATGAATGAATCAAGTCAGCCTTTAGCATAGAGAAAGCAACACATTTACTCCAAGTAAATAGCTCTTGATGGAGTTAATTATAAGTTCTTCTCAGTGTATTTTGTCTTTTAGCAGAACTGTTTAAACATATAAAAGGAGAGGTGTGTTTTCAGCTAAAGTATTTTGTACTTTGTTTTAAATTTAAGTTCTATGCCACATTTTACTTTGGTTGTCAAGAGGTTCTAGGTTAGTTGTTAAAAACCAAATAAATTCAGGGATACTTTGAGGTAGATTTTGAAAAGTGTTCATGTGGTATGAAGACATGTCCAGTTATACTGTTTATGTGGTTGGATAATCTGCACAAAAAGCAGGCTTATTTTGCAGCATGGCAAGGCTGTATATGAATAAAGCATGTGGCTTTTTTTTTTCAGGTGAGGTTTTTGACTGAATTCAGATAATTCATTTGGCATTGAATTTCAGTTGGACAGTATACATATGGAGAATTCCATATTCTGAAATGACAGGTTTTTTTCTTCATTTAAAAGAGGACATTTCTATCTTATCTTAAAACATTTTAATGACTGAGACTACCAGTTATGTTTTATAGGATTTGATTTTTGTGCTAAGGCCTTATCAAAAGCTTTTAATAAGGTGCTTTCTGCTGAGTTAATGATATGTTTTAGATGGCATTTCTTATACCTGTCTTCAATAGACATATTCAGGCACTGTGATTGTAATGATCAAGTTTCAATCAAACCATACTTAGTATGACAAATATTGTGTGAAATTGTAATGCAGGTATTCGTGCTCTTGATAAAGGTCTTAATTTGACTCCTAGCAGAGACGGAGAACCACTATTGATTTTTATATCAGAATGCAAAATAGCTCTTATTTGTCATATACAAGGGAAATTGCTTCTTAATTAAAACTAAATAAAACACTCTCTCCAAGGTGTAGCAGTAATACAAAAAGTGTCACATTGTGTTGTAAATGGGTTCTTATATAGGTTTGTAAATGTTTGGTTAGCAATTAGTGTTAACAAGCTAAACTACTTAAACAGCTGCTTAAAACATCATTTGTTTTTATCCTTCCTGGAATGTTTGTAGAATTGCTGTACCCCAAGGCTCACTTGTTGCTTTTCCCTCTCCCAAAGCAAATGTCAAAGAAATATTTGAACAAACTATTATTCATCTTCAAATCCCCTTCAACTGGGACTGTGAGTTCATTCGACTGCATTTTGGACATAACAGGAAGAAGCATCTTAACTATTCAGAGTTCACTCAGTTTCTTCAGGTCAGTTATTAACCTTGTTCCAAAGCAGAACCGAAATTAATTTTCACTTCTAATAATACTCTGAGACCATTATAAATTTTGAGCTTATTCTGGTAGTGATAATCGTTATCTGATACTAATCCTGACAGTTGTGATGAACTGTTATTTCTTCATACAAGTTGTGTAAGCAGTGTGTATTCAATGTGCTTTGACTTGAATACCATCTTATAAAAGTATAGAACTAAATATACTGTTTATGAAATTAAGCATTTTACTGATTGCTATTAAACTGAACTGAGGGTCTACTTTTTCTGTTATTGGAATTTGATAGCAAAACTAACCTCTACCAGAGAAAGATTGCATGCTTAATATAACCAGTTGTTATTAACCATATAACCTCCCATATTCACATTTCTTTTAGTTTTCTAAATGTTATCCTAATACTTACCTTTTTTTTTTTTTTTTTTTTTTTTTACTGGCATGCATGCTACCACACATATATTGGGAGTTTGGTGTTAAGTGCAGCCAGCTTTGCAGGAGGCAAATCTGCTTCCCTGAGATGTTGCTGAAGCACCTGCTAGGGATCAGGCTTTAAAGGATCTCACTCATAGAAATGGACTTTGCTAAGCCAAAAATTTAAAAACATATGAATTGAACATTATACTAGAAGGAGATAAAGGATACATCAGCTATAAAGGATGGAGGAAGAGGAAAGTAGGAGAAATGTACATTATAATTAATGAGAAAGGAGTTCACAGAACAGTTAATTGCACTGAATTCCATAAATTAACATGCAGTGATCACCTCATGATATTACTTAGAGTTTTCTGTATCATAGACCTGAAGAAAAAAAGATTATGCACTTCCAGAGCCTGCCTTTAGTACAAAATAGTTTTGGACATACTGTTTTAAAAGTAGGGAGTGATAAATTTGCTTTGATATAATCTGTAATTATTGTCCAGGATAAAAATAGATCTAGAGCAGTTTCTAGAAAAACACGTCTAACTAGATAGGGTCTGAAGTCGATATTGTGAATTGAGCTACTGGAGTTTGACACAGTCTTTCAAGGCTGCAGTATAACTTGATGTTACTTTCAAGGAATAAACTGTGTCCTGCATTTGATACTCCATTTTAGGTGATCCCAGGCACGAATTTGGGACACTAGTGCAGAAAAAAAATCAGATTGCTAGTAAGAAGAATCTTTATGTTGGGAACCCAGAGCAAAGGGATAAATATCTGTCCTGTTTTTATTTTTATTGTTCCAAGATACTGCCATCGTATAATAAAACCCCTTATTAGAGAAGGGTAGTATAGACTGCAGTAATTTCAGTAGGTACACAAGTTGGATATTATTGTACTTCCTCTTACATCAGGTTGTTTTTCTTATTTGGTCTAACAGCACCTTGTGGGGTTTGGGACTTGGATCAGAGCAGGCTTGTTGCACTGTGATCTAGAAAGGCTTGATCTTGAGGTTATGACTTGAGAAATTACTGTAAAGGTGATACAAGCTAGATGGTTTGCCCTCTTCTTATTGTTGGTCAGAACATGGTTATTATTTTAGCTGCTTCTAGAGGTCTGAATGACAGCTGAATGTGCTTTATTGTTTGCTTGAATAGAAGGAAACAACTTTTTCTGGACATGGAATTTACAACCATCATTATTATCTTGAGGTTAGGTTACAATGTGCTTTATATGAAGGTTTTTACAGATTGTATAGCAGTTTTAAATTGCCTGAAATGAGTGTCCATTTCTGACATTATGGGAGGTAGCTGTTGGGGGCAGTCTAAATCTATATTATATAATTTTCACTGTCCTCCTGTTTATTTTCAGGTACTTTTCAAAGAGTTAGTTTGTAATAGTCCAGTCATGTTTCATCTTGGATGTGTAAGAAATCAGCTCACTTTGAGCCTTTAAGATCAATATCAAGAGTCTCTTGAGCAGTTAAGTATTTAATAAAGGCACAGGTAGCAGACAGGACATGGGTATGTGAAGTTTGTATCTCAAATCATGTAGTGAAAGTGCATATTTCCTTACAGTTAAATTGGGGCTTTTCTTTGTCAGAGAAGTGAATCTGTGGATAGAATTGGTATGCAGACTTCTTGTTTTAGTTTAGCTGGCCTTTAAGTTTAAAATGCAGTTGTGCTGTGGCCTACGCACACAGATGTATTGGGGCATCCTGAAAGAATACAGAAGTAGTGAGAGTTTTGTCAATAGTGAGTTACAGAGTTTGCTTCTAATCTGATATTTCTGAATATTCGTTGTAGGAGCTGCAGTCAGAACATGCAAGACAAGCCTTTGCATTGAAGGACAAAAATAAAAGTGGCATGATAACTGGGCTGGACTTCAATGACATCATGGTTACCCTTCGCTCACATATGCTAACTCCATTTGTGGAAGAAAATTTAGTTTCAGTAAGTGTAAAGAACAGTGACTTGAATTCAGTGTTTAATAGCTGTAATATTTTAAAATGTTACTGATTCTCTCACACTTTTTCTCCTACCTGTTTATCAGTGCCTTGGTGCTAGAGATTATCACCTTTATAAGGGAGTGAAACAGGGTGAAATATGGCAGCAATCCTTGGCTGCAATAGTGGAAAAGTTTGGCAATCTGGTTTACATCCCTGAAGTGCCATTGGAAACAGTTAGAGTTAGTCTACTATACTCTCCACTAAAGCAGGGCAAACTGTACTTGACACAGAAAGAACATTCATTTAGGACAAAAATGAATTTTTATATTTGAATATATGACAGATCTCAAAAGGTGGAGACTACTTACAGTTTTGTCCTTTTATATACTCTTACATTCTTTTCTTTTTCAGATCAGAATTTGGAAAATCAGTATGTAAATTCTAGAGGTAGAATGGTTACAGCTGTGATAGTTGGGCAAGATCTGTAGGTAAAATAGACAAAAAAAGTTATGAACTAAAAGTATACAGTATAAAAAAGCATATAACAAAAATGATATAAATTGTAAAGTAATCATTTTTATCTTACTATTTTACCTATAAATCTTGCCTTGCCTAACTAATAAGGCATACAATCTTTCATAAAATTTATGGTATCTGCTAGCTTTAGACTTTGAAATAAATGGTCACTGCTATATGTGATGCAACAAGTCAGTTAGTGCCTTTATCTAAAATAGCATTACACGCATTTTTCTATTAGAAATAGAGAGTATTAGGAAAATACTCAGTGACACCTTTAGTGTTTATCAGATAAATTGAATAAAAATCTACTTATTATTTCCTGATTGTTTCCTAATGTTCAATTTTTACCAAAAAATAGTATCCTGTCTAATCATTCTCCCTTAATGTTTCTATTAAAAATATCTTAAAATTACAGGAATAGAAAGATATCCGTAATTCTTTCCTTATTTGCCCAAATGGATGTTTCTGTAATTTGTAATAAGATGTTGTGAAAGGGCTTAAGGCACTTACCTGCATTCATTTAATTTTTAAAGGTAGCTGGTGGAACTGTTTCGCATCAGGTCAGCTTCTCCTATTTCAATGCATTTAATGGTCTTTTGAATAACATGGATCTGGTTAGGAAGATATACAGTAATATAGCAGGTCCAAGAAAAGATGTTGAAGTTACAAAAGGTAAAGTACATTTCCTAAATTTTACTAGTTTTTTTAGTTCTGTCTGATTTGTAATCTGTTGTTGGGTATGGGTTAAGGCAAGTCAGAAGCTGCAATAGTATGCAAGGTTAGGGCTACCGTGAAAGTGTTTAAAGGGTGATTTTCTTTCTCACAGGTTAGTAATGATTTTCAGCTAGCTCGTTGAAGAGAAGAGTTTGGATTCTGGCAGGAGCTGTGTTGGCCTTACTAGTTTGAGTGGATAACTGCAAGTTACTGTTGAGGATTTTACCACTCCTTGAAAGGGATGCAAGGTTACTTAGAGATAGAAAGCACCTAGGGAATGTGGTAGAATAGATTTAGTTTGAAAATCCATCATCAGTAATCTCCATGTTGTTTTAGCTCAAGATGCTTTATCCATGATTAAATCTTCTTTGGAAAATTGGTGATAATTTATAACTTCTTAGTGCTTACTTGCCTGAGTGGTTTCATATGTAGTTTCTGTCTGTTAGGACATAGCAAATCCCTGTGCATATGAAAGGTTGCCGTATTTCAGTCTTGCCGCAGGCATAAGTGCACTGCTTTTGTAGTCATTTTATCACAGATTTTTATCACGGTTTTATTACCTGTATGGACAGACCACCCAAGCCTATGTGTGGTAAAAAGCATGTCAAGTTTGTGGGTTTTTTAGTTGGGTTTTTTTTTAATTATTATCCCCCCCCTTCTTTTATGTTTGTCATATGTTCATATGGTCTGCATACCTTTCATCCCTAAATGAAAGCATAAAATGCCTGTCCTCCGTCTCCAAATTGTGCTAATTGTGCCTAGCCGTGTTTTTTGGTGCAGATGCATAAATACACCTTGGTTGGATTTGTGTTGTGAAAAAAAGCTACTGTGTTTTCAGTGCTCAGACTTGATTACTGTAGCTTCCAATTATGTCGTGAACATGTCATGTAATTTGGCTAGATGAATACCTAAGCTTGGGGTCTTTCAGAGCTTGTAGGGAAAGGACATGATGGCAATAGATGAGTCAGTTGCCCTTTAAGCTGTGAATAATGAACACTATTCTGTTCTGTTCTGTTTTGCAGAACTTCAGAAACAAGAATCACGAATTGTGGGTGTGGTTTTATTAAGCTTGCTAATATGAGGATTTTTGTTGACTTTGATGAATTCTTACAGTAAATCAAAGTTGTGGAGTCAGACTTACTCTGTGTTGAAAAGGCCTGTTCCAAGATAGATGTTCTTCTAAAGATACCTTGTCCTTTTGCATTATGGGTTTTACTTCTTGGTGATAGATTTCATTTTTATGATGTTAAAGTTATTTGTGAGCATTTAAAGAGGAAATTTGACAATTCAATTGCTT